CTTTCTATTTCTTTCTCTTCTTTGCATGTATAAATTATAAAATCAGCAGATTTTATGACACACTCAAAAAAATGTCTTGCTGATATAGGTAGTTTTTGTTCTTGAAGAATAGTAAGAAAATGTATATAATATATGTACAATGAATGCAGTGTGTATATGGGAAAAAATCCCGATATCTCAGGAAAATAAATGAATAAATAAATAAAAATTTTAATCTCTCTCTTTTTAAAAATATGTAAATCTCTATCTTAGAATAAATCTTGCTTGCTTACTTCATGCAATCATCATCGAAGTCGCATATTTTGACATTTCGAAGAGAGTTAATAACGATGTGAGTGATTTAATGCGGTTTTATTTTATAGATATTCAAATTGTCGTGCTTCAACTTTAATACATTTCTGAATTCTTTTTTCACAATTTCCTTGTAATTTATCAGAGATGTGTAGATTATGAGATATATATGAGCTAAAACGGCGATTAGGACTACATCTTCTTTTATGTGAATAAATATTCTTTATATGAATGATCTTTTTTATTTGAACACTTTGTATAATAATAGTAAATAATTGACGTGTCATGTGATCGTATGATAAATCAGAAAAAGATCATTTAAAGATCATATTATTTATTACGATTAAATTTATATTAATATTATCTATTAACTTTTTTTATAGAAAGAATTTGATTCTCATTCAAAAAACCGAAGATGATTTTTAAATTTTGACAACTACAAATAATAAAAAAGTTTTGGATTATGCAATATAAAGCCCTATTCAAACTATGCAATATTTGTTTGAAAAACTCTTCGTTAAAATCAATATTTAATAGTTATCGAAGTGATTCCAATTCATGCCCCATTCTCTATAATTATATTTGTAAGCATTGATAAACACTTCCTTTTTTTAATTGTGGGAATTTTTATTTGGGATTTGTTAAATAATATATGGCATAAATTTATTTATATTGCTATTTAATTCTCTTAGCGTTTGTGAAATATCAAACTAGACGATCTCTGCGTCAGAAGATAAAAATACCAGAAAAAATTAGCATTATGACGAGACGAGAGAAAACAAGAGAATTCATCTTCACACGTTTTTTAAAGATTTTTTTTAAGAGTATAAATTTTATTAAGCTCTAAAAATTTTCCTCAAAATAATTTATTTAAACGTCTTCTAAAACTATTCTGCGCAGATCGTGTTAGAATAATTGGCGTTATTTCATAAAAAAAGTTGATAAGGATTTAATAAATTTAATTTTGAAAATAAAATCACACACACACACACACACACACAACGCAAAATGGCATAGGACTTTTCTTTTCAATTTGACCCAATCTGCCTCCATCTTTCGGTTGGTCACTTACTTGTCGGACATTCTGTGTGTGTGTGTATATATGTATGTGTATATATGTATGTATATATATATATATATATTAGGTGTACAAATAAGTTTCCGCCGTTTGACAAAAGTTGGCGCCAATTAAAATATTTTTTATTCTTAAATATGTTTCACTATTTTAAAAAATATTGCAAGAATTTAAATATAGCAACTTTTTAATATGTTAGAAATAATAATAAATAAATTTTGTAGCATAAGTTTTTATTAATTGGCGCGCAATTTTTCAATATCACTATTTTTTGTAGAAAGTTAAAGCAACCATTTCGTACAACAGTTTTTTAGTTTTGAATAAAATAACACTGTTACATAAGAATTTTTCATACCTGGTGCATGCACTTAGCGCCTCTTTTTTTCTTTTTTTAAGAAGTAAGTTTTAAACAGTTATGTCATTCTTTTTTTACTATATATTATTTTAATAACATATAGGGCAATCGAATTTCTAGTAGGCTTAATCAATAGTTTAAATTCGTATTATAAAAAGTATTTTAACACAAAAAGTGTTTTTATTTTAACTCTACATGTTCTATAAACGATATAGATTTATTAACTTAACATAATATTATATTACATTCTTCAATCTCTCTTTTCAATAGTATATTCGAATTGTTCTTAAATAATATTTTTTCTTATAATTTTAATTATTCCTGTTTATGTAGTCAAATAAAATGCTATTATATTTATGAATAATAGAAAACAACAATTGTGCTCTTTTGTTTGATATATAAAAAGTATCTATTCGTGCATTTTTTTTACATCAAATTCTTAATCCCCTTTTTTACATAGAATATTAGATTCAAATAAAACAATTTATAATAATAATTATATTATTAGTATATTATTAGTATAATTATAATAATATTATTTTTTGATGTGTTTATAATTTCTTTAAATCTTAAATTTAAAATTACAATGTTCAAAAATCACCAAAATTACCTATCCATGAGTTATCCTAAAATAAGTTATCTTAGGAAAATTTACATTCTTCTCTTTATTTTTTTACATGCATGTTTTCTTTAAGTTTTTGTCCGTCAAGTTAAATTGACGATATAATAGGATAAAGTTAAGAAAAACACAGGTTGCAATTGTTTTCAAATAACCTTTATCAATGGCTCGATGGTTCTCGAAAATTGAGAAAATAAACTATCCAGCAGATCTGGAAAGATGATGGGTATTCTCTAAGGAAAACTCGATTGATTTATAGAGAAAATAATCTCTCGATAAAATTAGCTCAAATTGTGAAACTTAATAATTTATTATCTCTTGATAAAAAAAATTTTTATAGTCACAAGTTACATACGCGCGAAAAATTATATAGTATAATACAATTAAAGATGATAATATAAAATATTGTCATATCATTAAACTAGCATATTGTTAATAAATTAATGGTACCAAACCATCTTCCATTCAATGATTAAAATTGGGACAGGTAGATAAAGAGTAGGGATAATTTCGAAGGACATTATATATATAAGATAGGTATATATAAGATTTGTGTTTCAGTCGCGGAAGTTTCAGTGGTGGCGACGCATACGCGAAGTATAAAACGGCGGTTTTACATTTACGGCGAGATCCAGGTAAGGAGAATGGAAGTGCATGCATGCGCATTGCACGAATTCAGGCGAAGAAAGTTCTTCCGTGTTTGTCCGGCCTGTGTTGCATAATACTTTCGTTGCAGATGAAGGAAAGTGTCTCTTTCTCTCTGTTCTTCTTTCTTTCGTTCCCTCCCTCCTCCCTTCCCTCGTCCCTTCTTTTCTCTGCTGCAGCAGTGGGAATGTAAGTACGTCCGGCAGATTTCTTACTTTCTTACTCTTGCATGTAACAGTTAAAGTATATACACCCGAACAACTTTGGTAATCGAAATTTATTGTCGGTATCTTTTTTATCGTGTCGTCAATGTAAATGTGTTTTTTCCATGTAAATGTGTGTAGATTTGAAATAAATAAAGTGTTAACCGGGGGATAAAATCGTTTTCTCATGACAGGACGCGCGCGAGCGGATGTTATCGGTAAATAACTCCGCGAGCGTATAAAACGAAGACTCGAGTTACAATTGAGTTTAAAGGCAACAGCTGGCTCCAATAGATTCAATTACAGCTTCCGCTTAAATACACGCCATCGACGGCATATCTGAAGTGTTAAGCGGATTCCACTCATCAAGTTCTCCGAAACAGCTCTGCCACGCGTTTCTTCTCGCGTTCAGGATCTCTGGAAAATTTTTAGCCGGACGTACTCAAATTTACCTGTTGACGGCTTTTCTTCACCATTGTTTACTACATATGTTAGTATAGTTATTATTTTGAAGCTACATTATTATAATTTTTATCTCCTCTTAACCCATACAGCACAGAATATATTACTGCAACATTGCAACATTGCAGCAACATTGCAATATCAGTATGATGTTGCTGCAATGTTCTGTGCTTTGTAGGAATCTAATACAGCGATATAAAACATTGAATTTTCTACGAAGCAAATATTCTCAGTGGGATAACTTTCTATCGTGCAATACATACGAGAATGCGGATAAACAATATCGTTGCAAATAAGTTTGAAAACTACTTCGTGATGAGTCGATGCTCATACAGCACAGAATATTGCAGTAACATTTCCGGCAATGTTGCTGCAACGTTCCGTGCTGTATGGGTACAAAGCAAGGGAGCAACGTAATCTATGCGAACGACGGCGAAACAATCCGGAACGCGACTCGATCGATTTTTCAGCGACTCGGTCGGGCCATCTGAATTCCACCCCTTTTCAACCCCCTACGCATGCGTTTACTCCCGTACCCTCTTCCCCCCCCCCCCCCCCCCAATTATTTCGAATAAGGTTATTTCTGAATTTTGACAAATATGATCGGATCTCTCGGTTCTGTTGTTCAACTTTCAATAAATAACAAAGATGGAACGACGCTTTTAGCGCGTAAGCGTATTCCCCGAATGCCGCCTATGTTACAAATTGTTTATTATAAACGGCGGATACTGTTAGTACCAAATGGGAAACATAAATTTTCTGGGGAACCGAGATGTTTTTTAAACGTAAACTTCGTGTTTTAAACTTTGCATTGTAATCTCTCTATTCGTAGAACAATTAAAGCAAAAGTAAGCACACTTTCCTTATATAATTCAAACTCAATCTATCGATTAAGTCTAATAAGAATTCGATCGCTTTAGCCGTTATTAAGATCCAATAATCTAAAGTACTCTTAACTGGTCGACTTGCGTGAAGATACACATGCTTCGCTGTTACTGCGCGTGACTTGGAGCGAGACAATACCGTATTTCTTGATATACAGGGTAAGGAAAAAGTATGGAAACCATGAAAAATTTCAAAAAATATAAGTTTTACAGAAAATTGTTTCGAATAAAAGTTGTGGGGTTTAAAGAGATCTATTTACTAATTTTATTAGTTTGTGTTTGAATGGTGTCGCCAAGTTCAGAACAAGGTCACCTTGAATTTTTTAAATGGAGACCCCTATTTTTATTACATATTCTTGTAGCTCTTGTCGAATCTGTTCATCGCTGATAGGCGGTGTGTAACGCGCAAGACGAGGCGCGCGATACCCTACGTCGGCGCGATTAGCGACGTCAACGAAGCCAAGCCAGTATTTCTCGCCCCTTTTGTTAGGACAGTTCGCTTCTCTTAGCGGGCAGGAGAATTCGAGGTGGTCGATCGAGGTCGCCCCGATAATCGCGAACGCGTGGGCGCGACGTGCATTTCGGACGGAAGAATCTCGGAAATTTTCGGACTCTCGTCTCCCCTTTCCTTTCTTCTCCGGTGAGTCTATTTTCACGAGAAACATTCGTGAGTCGCGCGCGATTTTTTCCTTCTCTTTCCGGCCAGCCGGTTGTTCATTCGGCGATCATCATGAGGGAAATAGAATTCACCGGCGGTGCCGAGAATTAGACTCGTCGAAAAAGTGGTCGATGCGTAAAAACGCATTCGCGCGCATGCAAAAGTCGTGATATTCTTACATACACGTGTCGAAAAAAAAGAAATTACATGCCGACGAACTTACGCAAACGGAAAGACGAAACCAAGAAGAGACAGAGAGTGAGAGAATATCGAGGAACAGGCTGCCAGACGGACTAAGGGCACGTCAATGCGCACGCAGTGAGTCGACACACGTCGCATAATATCACACGTTCTAATCCGATCTTAAATCGCGTTATTTTGATAATATCTACTTGTTTCGCTCTATTGGCTTTTTTTATGCAATTTATTTACTCTCAGAACATTTTTGTGTATTGTCTGTCACCCGAACTAGAAATATATGTATATGTATCCGCATCTTCGAAGTTACATCGTTAGTTCTCACATACTTAAGTAAACTAATCATTAATATCTGTGTAACGATAAACTGATGTCCCGAAATTAATTTTGTAATCCAATTGCTGTCCAATTTTTTTCGAGACTATTACACGCTTTTTTTTATTTGGAGGATAACATGACATTTCGATGAGAAAAAGATTTGTTGCAATTTTTTTATTCCTTATGCTTCGCTGTACAAGAATTCTGTTGCATTATTACAACACATAACCGCGATAAGATAAGATCGTATGAAAAGATTGATATGTATTCTGCCTTATGAAGCACTGAGATAAAATATTTGCCAGAACAAAATTATCTTATATTGTTTATTAACGTACAAGATCATGTGTAGATATACGTTCCAATTGCGATAAAAATAAGCTATCGCTTTGCAGAGATGTTTCATGCGGGAAAGTAAGGACAAAAAATGTATGTACGAAATTATATCCGCCAACATGTGTGTGAAAGAAATTAGGGACTTTGACTTTTGTCAAAAAGAAAACAAAAAAAAATTTCAGAACTTTTTTATTTCCGTCGTTTGAACCAAATCACTTTATCATAGATCAGAGAAAAACGTAAGAACATTGTTTTAAAATTGATTAATCCTAATCTCCGCACATTCAAGATTCATACTAATACACTTACATGTATGTACGCGAAAAGTATAACTTCTGGTATGGCTGGTCGATCGATATTTAGAGCATATAAGTCGATCGATCGGTTTCGAAGTTCTATATACCATGTGCAACGACGTCGACAATGTTGCGTTAACCCTTCCGCTACAAAGGGCGTAGGACAAAAGACATATTACTGACATATTAAAAGAATATATTATAGGAATATTATTAGATATTCATTGTTACACATATATTTGATTTTTTAAATATCTATGATCAATGATATTTTTATATCCTATTTTTTTTAAATTTCTCCTAAGTACAAAATATAAGAATAAAATAGAAAGAAATCGAATAAAATGATTAATTTTTTATTGCTCGATTAATACAATAATGGACGAACACAATTACACCTATCTACATGCCTTCACATCATGTGGTACCTAATTCTGGCAATCAGATGACCATACTATTGTCAATTTTTTATATTACATATTAAATAATCTAAATTTATATTGATATGATAAATATAATTTTATATGTTAAGAATTCTAATAATTAATTATATAATTATTTGTTATAAATAATAGTGGATTATAATATTTTCGATAATCTTACCGTAATACTTTTATGTACAGAATAATGAGACAAATCAATTGATATAAAAGAATAACTGTTTTTAATTGTTTTTAAGAAAAAGTAAGTAATTATTTATGTAATTTTTTAACAATTATTTGTTTTCTTTTACACAAATTTATTTGTCTCATTATTCTGTACATAAAGGTATTACGATAAGATTATTGAAAACTAAATATTTTTCAAAAGGCAGTTCTAAGGATGTTTTCTAGACATATGATTTTTGTAGATAATAATATAGTAAATTTAT